GGGGGGGGGGGGGGTGAAAGGTTTGGGGCAGGAGGGCTATTTAACCTGCTTTGGTGGCAGGCAACATGGTGAGCCAACTACTCTCAAGGTAGTGCAGCTGCCCCCAATGGTCACCCTGCAGGATAACTCTCCTCTTCTCTTGCTGCCTGCAGTGGCCACTATATTTCATCCCTCCTTTCTGGGCATCCCTGCCCCTTTCCATATTATGGAAAACAGTCTCTTTACAGGGACTTCTGGTTTTCCTGGAACAACCAAACCCTGATCTTGCTTTAAGTTAAGATAACAAAGGTAGTGCAGCTGCCCCCAATGGTCACCCTGCAGGATAACTCTCCTCTTCTCTTGCTGCCTGCAGTGGCCACTATATTTCATCCCTCCTTTCTGGGCATCCCTGCCCCTTTCCATATTATGGAAAACAGTCTCTTTACAGGGACTTCTGGTTTTCCTGGAACAACCAAACCCTGATCTTGCTTTAAGTTAAGATAACAGGAAGCCGCATACCATATTTCATGGCCCTAGCTCTTAACTGTTTAGGAGGCATTCTTAACCTTACTCAGACACTCACTCAGATATAGTAGCAAATTTACCTGATGCTGCTGAGGTCAATTCCCCTCCAGCACCGTCTTTATGGCACGGGGGGGAGGGGAGGGAGAGAGGTGGGGGAAGCAGAGGCACAGCGATCCAGTACCTGGCATGAGCTGGTACTGCTCAGTCTTGGCTTGTGGCAGATCCCAGACCTAGCCCTGCTGCAGCTCTGCAATTTAAATGTAGCAGGAGCTGGGCTGACTGTACACCTGGCTCCTACTACACTTTAACTGCAGAGCTGCAGTGTGGCCCCTTAACAACTAATTATGTAGTTGATACTAATTGTATCGGCTAGACAATTAGTCAGTTACCCACTTAACATCCTTAGTCTATATTGGGGATTTAATCGGATAGTCATAAGCTTATTGGATAGCTGACTACTGATGCGCCTAGTCGCTTCCCTCTCCCCCACCCTGCTGCCTCCATCAGAGTTCCAAGGCAGAAGTGCCCTTATAGACTAATCCATGAAAATCCCATCGACTATTCAATTAATTACATCTAAATTTAACATCCCTAGTCTGTATAGCTACAGAAACTATTGTTTGCAGCTAGCAAATAGCACCAATTGTTGTCTCCTCACTATGTAAAGATAGAGCTTGTATAGGACTAGTACAGAGCCCTGCATGGGACTGAGATCCCATGAATCCCCAGTCCTGCTTCCATAATAGTGGGAACAGGATTAGAAAAAGACCTGCTTAGGGCACTATTGCAGCATGTTAGAGCTAGTCCTGATGTAGCTGGCTTATAGTCACAGACTGGAAGAGAAGCAAGCTTTCCTGCTTTTTCAACTCCCAGCTCATTTCTTATTGTGGAATAAAACTGCAACGATGGCAACGTCCTCTCTTTGCTGTGGGAGAGACTCCATCACAGGCAAAAGCTGGTTCAGCCCTCAAACTGTGGATCTAGCCACTGATTTACAGAATCAGGCCACCAATCCAGTGCATTAGGGATGTCAAAATGCAGTTAATTGACTACTTGATAGGCACTTCTGCATTCCTCCTTTGAAGTGTACAAGAGCCCCTGCTGGGGCTGTTGTACATTTCAAAGGAGGAATCCAGAACTCTGCATACAGCCTGGGGCCAGCGGGAAGTCTCTCTGACCGGTCTGCACGTGGATGCCTAATTTGAGGTGTACAACAGTCCCCAGCGAGCCCTGGGCTGTGTGCAGTGTTTCAAAGCGGCAGCACTGTGTGGAGCCTGGGATAAGCTGGGGACTCCCCTGCTGATCAGGTTCCAAGTGGTGTTGCCGCTTTGTCCCCCCCCCCCCCCCCATTGCTGTCTCTCAGAAAGAGGCAAAGTGCGGGGGAAGCGACTAGTGTTGACTGTCTGATAAGCATTTGCTTATTGGATGGCTGACTGGTCATTCACATCCCCAATCAGATATACTAAATATTTATATGCCCCTTCATGCTTCTGCCTACAGACCAAAGGACATGCTTCCATGCTGCTGATGCTCATTTAAAAATATATTAGGTTTGTGGCTTAACTCCTTGAGGGAGAATTTTGTCCCCTATTCTGTATACCCCCATTCTGCCATGTATTTTATGTTAGGGTGGTCTAAAATGACTCAGCACATGTTCGTTTTCAAAACACTTTCACTACGGTTTTGACAAAACACACAAAAGGTATCAATATGAGGTTTCTAAAGCTAGCTTCAGCACTTAACTCAAGGTTTAAGATTTTGAAGCACCTTCCAAAATCTGAGGGGGAAGAAGAGTCTGCTTTCAAGTCTTAAAAAAGCAGTATGCCAATGTGAAAACTACAGAACATGAACCACCAAAAAGAAAACCATATGATGAAGAAAATGAACATGCTTTGGATCATTATCAAGCAGAACTCCTCATGAGCAGTGTTCCCTCTAACATTTTCTTTCCTTGGGTGGGTTGAGTTTTCTTTTGGTCAGGTTGAAATTTCTGGTGTGCAATACCAATATTGAGGTAGTGTGTGGATGTGCACCACTAGTACAAAAGCCCCATATCTTCTCCCATACCTGTGAACTATATTAAAACAAAGGGATAGTTAAGGAGCAATGCTTATGATATTCAATATGAAATAAAATTTAAAAAATTAACGCTACCCTTGGAGTACATGTATCACCCTCCTGTCTAATAACTCCAACTAGTAAACACACCAAAATGGATATTACCTACACATAGCTCATCTTTAAGATGCAAAATGAATCAACTAGAAATAGTCATGCTCTTTTTGCAAATGCTAATACAATAGTTACTGACAAAGGAAAGGAGAGTAAAAGGCATTTGCTCAGGCTTATATAGTTTCTCAGGGAAATGTTTAGGATCCATGCTATACAAGAATAAGGAAAACCAATAAAAACTGATAAAACGTCTCCTGATTTGAAACTTTCACCTTGTGTATGTCACCATCTCAATGAGTAATGGCCAAAGAACAGCTTGCAAACCCTGAAGCCAGGTGTTAGATGCATGTTTTAAAGAGCTTGCAAATAAGGTTTCATCCTATTAAATAACTAGCATCACATGTAGTAATTGCTGCTACTTACTCATAAGAGCAGAACTCTGCCACATAGCTAAGATCTGGCCTTAATGCAATACGATACCAATTAATTCATGGTATAACACAATTAGCCTTGCCCATAGAATGAAAGAAGCTATTTGCATATATATTTGCATGTATATGCAACCACACTTAAGTTGCAGCCCTTGGCATGTGCTGTTACTCTCATTGTGGCCCACATGGCTTCCAAAGTTGAGTAGCCCTGGCTTAAGGAAAGACAGGTCTAGTGGAGCTCTTGTCTTTTAACAGAATTTTTTGGTGTTGCAGATATACATGCAAATATAGATACACAAATAGCTTCTTTCACACTAACAAATCAAACTGCTTATTAAAAAGAAAACTGAATACCAGTGCTTTGGGTGTTTAGCTTCAGGTTGTGTGTTTCTTGGAGTGATTTTACTGTAAAAAGAAAAGTTTCCGAGCCAGAGCACTCCAACGTGCAGGGATTTTGGTGAGTCAGACTGGACACAAGGCTGAAAAGAACAGGTGCCTGGGAGCCCTGTCCTGATGACAACCCCATGCAGGAGTCTGTTGCTCTGTGCGGGACTGAGGCAGAGCTGCCTGGCCACGGTGCTGGCTCAGATGTGGCCAGTGTGAACCAGTCATTGTATGCAAGTAGCTTCTTTTACACAAACACCCTGGCGCTCCTGGCACCTCCTCCCTGGAGGCTAGAAACGCTGACACCCTGTATCTGTCTGTTCCAGCCAGCCTGTCCGCTCGCGTCTTTCAGTGCTCACCCCACCCGGGAGATGCCTCATTGTTGTGGATCATGTTCCCAGTGGAGGCCATGTTCAAAGGAGCCCACCCGTGGCCCTGTGTAAACCCAAACTGCGGGCCACAAAGGAATGGGCCTGCGGGTCTCTGAGTAGCCCTGCCTTAAGCCATTAACACCTGTGAGAACTTTGTGTGAAATGTAATCATGCAAATATCCTGGCACACCCCGCCAGACAGGACTGCAGCAAGTAAGTCGGGACACCCCAAACAAACTCTCCCGTCCCCCCTGCCTCCACTTTACTGCACTGATGCCATCAACCACTCATCCTGTTTCCCATACCCTACCCCTGTTCAGTCTGCTCCCTCCAGCCTGGCTGGGAATCAGGATATAGCACAAACTTCCCTCACAACAAACAAACTCTCCACTTGCACCGAAGGCCAGGTCCCATCTACTTGCTATATCTCCCACTTACCACATACAGTCAGCCCCTCACCTTCCTTTCCCAGCCCAGGAGGCTTGATGAGTGTGCTGGGTTTCTACCACTGCCTCTCTGCTCACTCAGATGGAACACCCCAAATTCCCCTCCTGTTCAGCTCCCTGCCAGTTAATTACTTCCTCCCCCTTTCCCCAAACTTCCCTACCTTACAACTCTCCTCTCCAGCCAGTTATTTCCTCCTTATCTCCTCTCCTTGCCCGCTCTCTGAGTTCCTCCATGGAAACAGACAGCTTTGGAAGCTGCTCAGACAACCCTCCCACTGCAGGTCAACTGAGCTGTGACTGTGCGGGAGCTCTGAGCAGGGCTCGTTAAAGGTCTGCACAGTCATGCAGCCATACAGCTTACAAGAAATTAGGTCATGAGCATGGATGCGTGTCCTCTGGAATGGTGGTGAAAGCATGAAGGGAAGTGAATTTTTAGCCTATCGGCACACAAATATCTTCAATAATGGCAACAACAGTGATAAGTGAATGCCAGTTCTCACTTTCAGGTGAGAAGCAAGTGTCATCTCCTGCTAGGGATGTGAATGGTTAACCAGAAAGTGTCACCCTTAACAGATAATGCTTACTGATTACAGTTAACTAGTGGGGGCTGGAGTAGCTTCCCACCTGCTGTGGGAAGGGGGCTGCTCCAGCCCTTCAGGGCCAGCTGCAAGCACTCCAGTCTGCCCCCATTTAATCAGTTAACTGGTTAAATATTATGTAACTAAATGGGATTTTACATCCCCATCTCCTGAAAATGTGAACAAATCTGACTGAGCAGTTGGCTGAACAAGAAGTAGGACTGAGTGGAGTTGTAGGCTCTAAAGTTTTATGTTTTATTTTTAAATGCAGGGTCTTTTACATAATTCTGTATTTATAAGTTCAACTTTCATGATCAAAAGATTGAACTACAGTATTAGGCGATTTGAAAAATGTTTTTGTTTGTAGTGCAAACATTTGTAATAAAATATAAAGTGAGCACTGTGCACTTTGTATTTTGAGTTGTAATTGAAAATGTAGAATATAGTCATAGAGACAGTACTCTATATTTGTTTAACAGTGCATTTAATCACAATTTTTTTAAATTGCTTGACAAGCCTTGTCAAAAGCCTTACTAAAGTCCAGGTATATTATGTCAGTTGTATACCCCTGCCAAAGAAGGCAATCCAGCTGCTTTGGCAGGATTTGTACTTGGTGATTCCCTGCTGGTGATCACCCTCCAAATGGAATGTTGTAAAGGTTGCTCCAGTGGCTTCCCAGGTATTGAAGTCAGGCCAACTGGTCTGTAGTTCGCTGGTTCCTTCTCTTCCCCTTTGTAAGCTAGGCACCACGTTAAGAGAGGTCCCAGAGATTGGAGAGAGGCTGTCACCTGTGAATTAGAAAATATTTTCACTAGTGGCTCTGAGATTTCTTCAGTACCCTTAGGTGCCTAGTGCCCAGTCCCACTGCTTTGAAATAATTTATTGGTCAGAAGATCTCTGATGAGCTTCTAGTCCTTTTGTCCCCCGACTCCTATCTGATGGTAGATTGGGGATGTCTGTCTCTTGGGCTTCGGTGGCTGGGTGGGGTCAGATTGAGTGTGAGACGTTTTTGCTCAGATGATTGCCCCCCCTTGACCAGCAGTCACAATGCTCTGGGGTGTCCATCTCTCACCCTTCCTATCTGGCTGTCCTAGGATGAGCTGCCCGCGTTAGCCATTTCCAGGCCCCAGACCAGCCTGTCCTTCCTGGCCCCGGAGCCTGAGGATCTAGAGGATCTTTACAGCCGCTACAAGGTGAGTAGGGGGCAGAGGTGGCAGGAGGGATGCCCTCGGATGGGAGGTGTGCGGGGGTAGCTCTCAGACCAGATAGTGAGGAGATAGAGTGCTGGGCTGGCAGGTTCCCTCACAGGAATTGTGGGTGAGGGCTGGACTGCCAGGCCCTGAGGAAGATGCCCTCGCATGGGAGATTTAGGTGGAGGTGTAGACTCCACCTCCTGTAACAGCATTCCTGGAGGGGCAGGAGAAGGAGCTATGTCTATCTACAGAATCTACAGCAGGAGCTGGAGTAGCTGGAAGAGCAGGCGAAGGGGCTGTCTGTGTCTGTCTCTGTGTTTAGAAGCTGCAGCAGGAGCTGGAGTTCCTGGAGGTGCAGGAGGAGTATATCAAGGATGAACAGAAGAACCTGAAGAAGGAGTTCCTGCACGCACAGGAGGAGGTGAAGCGCATCCAGAGCATCCCGCTGGTCATTGGCCAGTTCCTGGAGGCCGTGGATCAGAACACAGCCATTGTGGGCTCTACCACAGGTGCTGCTGTGGGGCTGGAGGAGGGGGATCCTGGTGGAAAGGGGTTGGACCCAGGGGGCTGGGCCCTGGCTTTCCCTAGCTCATCCCCATCTGCCTCTCACCTGCAGGCTCCAATTATTATGTGCGAATCCTGAGCACTATCGACCGGGAGCTGCTGAAGCCCAATGCATCAGTGGCCCTCCATAAGCACAGCAATGCACTGGTGGATGTCCTGCCACCTGAGGCTGACAGCAGCATCATGATGCTGACGTCAGGTGAGTGTTACTGGGAAGCCAGTGCTGCGAGGAGCAGTGTGCCTAGGGGTGGGGGGTGCCCTGGCTATGCAGGGGATGAGGGACTCTAGCTGTACTGGGCATTGAGGAAATAGAGGACTTGTGGAGCATAGGGGTTCCCTAGCCACGCTGGGCTCAGCGTGGTTTGTGCCCACAGATCAGAAGCCAGATGTGATGTACGCCGACATTGGGGGCATGGACATCCAGAAGCAGGAGGTGAGGGAGGCTGTGGAGCTGCCCCTCACCCACTTTGAGCTCTATAAACAGGTGAGGAGGTGAGACCAGTTTGGGTGGGACTTCTACCTGGGAGGTTGCTCTCTGCACTGGGCCCAAATTGCAGACCTCGTGTGGGCTTGGGGGCAGAGTTGCTCCTCTTGCTGTGCCTTGGAATGAGGAATTGTGGGGCTGGGGTTGCCAGGTCACTGTCAGAGCAGGATGCACAGACCTCTTGGCTCTGGATAGCACTGGGTCTGCCCCCCTCTCTCCCCGCTTCCTGAACCCCCAGGAGGGATGTAGGGGGTCCCCAGTAACCTGCTTTCCCCCCTCAGATTGGCATTGACCCCCCGCGCGGTGTCCTGATGTACGGGCCCCCTGGCTGTGGGAAGACCATGCTGGCCAAAGCCGTGGCCCATCATACCACAGGTGAGCAGAGTGCTGGGCTGACGGGGGGACGGGGATGCTGTTTAGATGGTACACCCTGGCCTGGCTCAGGGCTGGCAGAGTTCTCGGGCACAAAGGTGCCAGGCAACCTGTAGTCCCAACTCCTGGTCTGGAAGGGCCCCAGGCTTGTGCTGCAGGTTCCAGGGCCTGGGCCTGGCTGGCACAGGAAGCACCTGTCCGGAAGGTGTGGGGAGTCAAAGCTCAGGCTGGAGGGGAGGCTGCTGGGCTGCCGCACAGCTGGTTGCTAATGCTGGCCACCCGTCTTTCCAGCTGCCTTCATCCGTGTGGTGGGCTCTGAGTTTGTGCAGAAGTACCTGGGCGAAGGGCCGCGCATGGTGCGAGATGTCTTCCGGCTGGCCAAGGAGAATGCACCCGCCATCATCTTCATCGACGAGATCGACGCCATCGCCACCAAGCGCTTCGATGCCCAGACGGGGGGTGAGCAGGACTGAGGCCTGGCTGGAGCAGGAACAGGCCCAGCATGCAGGGGGAGCAGAGCTGCAACCCTAGCCCCCCTCTCTGCAGGCATCAGTTGCATGCTGGCGTGAACCCCCAACCCCATTCCCAAGGCTCTGGCTGACCTTGGGCAGAGGATGGGCAGGTCTGTGGGGTGCTGTAAGGGAGGCTGGGGCAAGCCCTGTGCTCCCCCCACTCTAGCCAGCTTGGGGCAGCGGGGCGGGTCTGTGGGGCGCTGTAAGGGAGGCTGGGGCAAGCCCTGTGCTCCCCTCTACCCCCCACTTTGGCTGGCTCAGGGTGGGGAATGGCTGGATGGCAGGGGTCAGGGTGGTGGCTGCGCTCTGGGGCAGCATCAGCTGCAGAAGATTGAGGTGAGGGAAGGCGTGGGCCAAACAGGATGGGGTAGGGGGTAGTGCCCAGGCCGGCTCTCTGGGCACCCTTCTTACCAGGCTGTGCCCCCTCTTCAGCTGACAGGGAGGTTCAGCGCATCCTGCTGGAGCTGCTCAACCAGATGGATGGTTTTGACCAGAACGTCAACGTCAAGGTGCCAGGAATGTGGGAGAAACAAGGGCACTGCCAGCCCCAAGTCTTCTGAGGCTGGGGGGGGGTCTGAATGGGAGCAAGGTCCCAGGAAGCCGTGATGGGCTTGGGGGGGAGCAGGAGACATTGGCAGGAGGGCAGCAGGGGTGGCCAGGTCGAGGGGCATGGGAGGGGGGGTGGCATGGGCCCTGCTATCCTAGCCAGGCCGGGGTGTGGGGGGGAGCAGCAGGGGTCCCCCTGCCATAGCCAGGCTGAGGGACATGGGAGGGAGTGGAAGGGGCCCTGCTGTTCTAGCCAGGCTGCAAGATGAGGGGCGGGGGTGAGGTTCAGGAGCACTGCTGTCCCGGTAAGGCTGGAGGGGCACATCCTAGGAACAGGGAGAGGCCATGGGCTTCCCAGAGGGCTGACTGTCAGCCCTCACCCCTAGGTGATCATGGCCACTAACCGGGCAGACACGCTGGATCCTGCCCTACTGCGGCCCGGCCGTCTTGACCGCAAGATCGAGTTCCCCTTGCCTGACCGGCGCCAGAAACGCCTCATCTTCTCCACCATCACCAGCAAGATGAACCTGTCCGAGGAGGTGGACCTGGAGGACTGTATCCTGCTCAGAGCCTGGCATGGGGGTCATGGGGAGGCTGTGTCCCACTGACTGCCTGGTGGGCTGGGGGCCATGGTGGGAGGAGGGTTGTCCCACTAATGCCTGGCACAGATTGGGATGGGGGTGTACTGACTCAAGAACCCCTCCCTTTGGACAGAGCTGTCCCTGGGAAACCCCTGTTGGAGGAGGGTCTTCTGGCTACCTCCAGTGGTAGGACCAGGGCAAGGTTGGGAGCCGTCCTGCCCTCCCTCAATGCGTGGCTGGAGGGGGGGCACTAGGGGTGGTCTGGTCTGATCAGCGGCACTCAGAGCAGGGCTGGGCATGGCTTGGGCCACAGGGCTCCAGACCCCGCTGGGTAGGGGTTGGAACTGGCTCCTTGGCTGTGACTTGGCACAGACCGTGATGGGGGGGTTACTCACCAGACCAGTCCCTCCTCCAACTCTGGCCCCTAACATGTCCTGTTGCCATGCCGACCTGCCCCCCAGCCATGCTCAGGTCCCTGGGCTTCAGCCCACCTGATGGGAAGTGGGGAGAGCCGGGAGGCCAGCTAGCTGGCTCCCTGGCCTGGGGGGTGGTTCCCAAGGGCCCTTTCCATGGCCATGCCTACCTGCTCTGCAAAGCTTTCCCTCACTGCCTTCCAGATGTGGCCCGGCCAGATAAGATCTCAGGTGCTGATATCAACTCCATCTGCCAGGAGGTGAGTGCAGGGGCTGGGGGCTGTGGGGGAGTGGCTGGTGTCCAGTGGCTCCATGTGCTGTGACTTGCCCTCACTGCTCCTCCAGCCAGTAGGCCCCTCCCCTGCCAGCAAGGAGCTGGCTCTCAGAGCCACGGCTCCCTCTTTTGCATGGTGCATATGCTGGGGCCCGCTGCACATGGCAGCTCCTGCCCCCACATGTGTGCAGCAGGGTCACAATGCACTGTGCCCCCATGCACATGCCCATTGTGCACCAGGCAAAATGGCGGGGAGGCCACTGTGTCCCACATCCCCTCCCCTCTGAATTATGTGCGCATTGTGTGCAGGGTGGTCACGGCACCTTCTTCTCGCCCTGTCCTTGTTAGGGATGTGAACGTGTGCACAGCTGAGCAACAGGCCTGGATTCATCAGTTAATATACCTGGTTACACACGGCTCCTTCCCCTCCTCTTTTAAGCCAGTTCCCTCTTAGCCTCCTCCACCGCTTTCTTCCCATCTCACTGCTGCCTGATACAAAGGAGGGGGAGGGCAGTGAAATGTTCAGTGGTTACATGTAACTCGTTACATGTTTACAGAAACAAATTTTCACATCCCTAGTCCCTGTGTGCACAGGGCAGGATGTGTGTGGGGTGGGGGTCACTGTGCCCGGTGTCACTCCCTCTCACGTGTCCCTGTGTGCACAGGGCGGGATGCTGGCCGTGAGGGAGAACCGCTACATTGTCCTGGCCAAGGACTTTGAGAAGGCATACAAGACGGTCATCAAGAAGGATGAGCAGGAGCACGAGTTCTACAAATGAAGAGCTTGGAGCGATTGTCTGGGAGGCTCAAAATCCATCCCTAATAAACCAGCGCTGGCTCCCTAACTTGAGTGCTGCTTTCCATCCTTGGGGCCCTGGGCGGGAGAACGGAGCCAGGTAGGTAAAGTCCTTGCAATAAACCCAGCCCCATGCTTCTGTGGTGAGGGCTGCTGTCTGGCCCTGCTGCCCAGCCCAAGGACAGCCCCTTTCCCACCCCCAGCCTCATGAAGGAGGGGTGGAGTGAAGGGGTTGGCCTCTCATTTTGTGCAGCCGGGTTGGTGGAGTGGTTGGTTTACACTGTGAAATGTTACCCACATAAATATGGCTGCAGCTTGCTAAGGGCCACATGTTTGCCAGGTGTTCTTTCTCTATGGCCACATAGCACTGCTCCTGGAGCAGCAGCTTCTTGCTCAAGTGCACAGAGGAGTCTCTTCCCCTTTTTTCATCCACCAGCATCAGCGCCACCCCTAGCCCTGCATCGGTGGCATGTGGCAAACACCATGAAAGACTTGTCTGGGTTTACCAGCACTGGGGCCCTGACCAAGGCATCCAATGCCCAGAAAGCCCTCTGGCCCTGCTCAGTTGAGACCAACTTGTCTTGCTGATCTGTCCTACACAAGCCATGGAGCTAAAGTGGGGCACAAATCCCCAGTGGTTCCCCGCCATCCCCATGAAGGCCTGGACCTGCTTCTTATTCTGGGCCACCAGCCAATCTCTGATGGCCTCCACTTTGGCCAGCTCTGGCTTTAAGCAGCAGTTCCCTGTTTTATGGCCTAGGTAAGACACCACCCTGTACTTCCCAGCCTTTACAGTCATCCTGGCCCCCTGCAGCTGATCCAACACTTGACTGACCTGGAATATGTGGTCCTCCCCGGTCTGGTTAAAAACACAAATATTGCCGATATAAGCCAGCACAAAGCTCTTCATCCCCCACAGCAGCTGGTCTCCAAGCTCTGGAAGGTGGGAGGTGCCTCCTTGAGGCCAAAAGGGAGGACCAGGAACTCAGACCCTCAAAGTAGTGGTAAAAGCCTGGCATCTGGGTCCTGGTCTAGGTTGGATATTAGGAAAATCTATTTCCCCAGAGGGATGGGGTCCCTAAGGAGGGGGTGGAATCTCTATCCTTAGAGGTTTCTAAGTCCCAGCTTGTCCAAGCCCTGGCTTGGATGATTTAGGTAGGTTTCGTCCTGCTTCAGGCAGGGGGTTGGAATCAATAACTTCCTGAGGTGTCTTCCAATCCTAGGATTCCAACAGCACCTGTCAACAGCCCTTGGTGAGGTTCATGGTAGTGAAGTAACGAGCTTCTCCCAGCTCATCTGGGGCCTAGGCATGGAGTATGCATCAGACGTGGTGATGGTGTCAGTAATCTACACAGAATTGGATCGAGCTGTCCTTGGGGACATGGAGGACGCTTGGTTCAGCCCTAGGCCCAGCATGTATTGGACTGCTCTTTCCAGGTCCTAGGCCGTCTTCTCCATGGCTCTGAGTGGGGAGCAGTGCACAGCAGGGGGGTGCCAGTCTCTAGCTGGTGGACAGCCGGGTGGGTGAGACCGAGCTTGTTGGAGAACAGCTGCTGGTGGGAGCACAGCACCTCCCTGCTCTTTGCCTGCTGGGCATGTCAGCTGAATAGAGGGGGATGGATTCCAGTAAGGGATCAGCTCCAGTCTCAGGAAACAAATCCACCAAGAGATCGTCTCCTTTTAGTGCGTACACACAGCCAGCACCACATTCTCTTTGCCCCAGTAGTTTCTTCATATTGACATGGTACATCTGGTGCCTATGAGCCTGGTTGGACAGTTCCACTATATAGTTCACCTCATTCAGCTGCTTGTCGACCATGTCTAATTCCAGGCTGCTTGCAGCTTATTTTTCTGCATAGGAAAGAGAATCATCCCCTGGCTGAAGTGGCGCAGGCCTGTGTGTTGCAGTTGTACCAGATGACCTGCCTCCTTTGCTCCCTGCTTGTTTCTCCCTGCCCAGGCCCATGAGCTCAGCAAGCTTTTAGAATCCTAGGGCTGGCAAAGACCTTAGGAGGCCATCGAGTCCAGCCCCCTGCTCAAAACAGGACCAACTCCAACTAAATCATCCCAGGCAGGGCTTTGTCAAGCCGGGACTTAAAAACCTTTAGGGATGGAGATTGCACCAGCTCCCTAGGGAACCCATCCCAGTGCTGCACCTCCCTCGTTGAAAATGGCCAGCAGCATGTCAGCCACAGTGTCTGCCTCAATAGAGGACAGAGCCACAGCCTTGGGTGTATTTCTTCCCAGGCTGGGAAGCTTTACTGAAGGGCCCCACTGCATCCATAACTTACCTTCAGGAAAGGCTCCTCCATTATGAGCAGGGGCTTCAAGGTGGCTTTCCTCTTATCCCAGGCCTTTCTCCTCGCCCCCAGCGGGAGTTGCAGGACTGGCAATACCACTGGACAGCAGCAAAGACCTGTCAAAGCAAAAACACGCTCCTCTCTGTTTAGGCGGCTAACAACTGATTTGCTTTATTGATTAGTAAAGCAAAGTGAGCCAAACGTGGTCCCAGTAAAGCTGCTAATACAATTAATTTTAGTATTTTTATACTCTTAGCTAAACAGTTTGACGTTAGGGCATTTAATTACAGAAATTCTTAATTAAATTTGGAAAAACAAAGCCTTATTAACAAGATGGCGGACAGGTACGAGGGAGTACCTCTCCTCTCTGAACCAGCCCAATTAACACATACCAATAGCCCATCCTGTAGGCTTCTTCTCACGAGGTGACAGAAAGTTCACTCTGGTCTACGTGCTTGAGAGAAAAGCTGAAATGGTTTTTGATATACAAGATGGCTTCTAGCTAAACATAAAATAGCTTTTACAACTCCCCCCTTTTAGCTTTTTAAAGGCTAACCTTGAAACCATTTTATACCTTCATTTTCCATTAAAGTATTTATGTACATTTTTTGTTTCTTTCTTTGCTCATTCTATTTTAACATCACGAGTTCCATATTTCCTTTGGTAAGGGTTTGTCTTGTGTTTTTCAGAATACAAGAAATACAGCATTTGATTAGCAAGAAACAAAAATAGGCACAAAAGAATATAGCTAATAAAGAATTACATGCAATGTTACAGACTTACTTATGGGGGACAGTGCTCCCCCCCTTCCAGAACAGACAGGCAGTTTGCAGACACACACAACCTTGGATCTGAAAGCAAGCCAAAAGTGCTATCAGCTCAGCCTTGAACAGAAACACTGTGAAGTTTCTGGGCTTGGATTTTTTTAAACAATAATTAGGTTCCTTGGAGGACACATTTAACCTTTAGGGTGCAGGTTTTACAAATTTACAATGTATAGATCTTATTTTTTTATGCGGTTAACCAATTAAGCGTCAGTAGAATTTTTTTTAATAGATTTAACAAAGTGTCTGTAGCCAAATGTTTAACTTGACTGTTTCATTGCTAAGATGATTAAAAGAGGCTGCAAGAAACAAGGAGTTATTTTTTAAAGCAGGTTTTTTTTTCCCTCCCCCTTAGGATTTGGAGGAACACTTTTCTTAAACTGTTAAACTTATTTTAAACTTTGTGTTTTGCTTTGGATCAGGCAAGTTTGTTACAGGAGCTCGTGTTTTTAAAGGGAAGAGCTAATTTTTTTTTAGTTATTTTTTATGTTTTCTCTTTACCTGTGTATGTGTTATAAAGAAGGATAGAGGGGTGATGTTGTGCCAAATTTTCCCCCCAAGCTTGGTTGATATGGGTGTGCCAACTGAGAATTTTTTTTTCTTTTTTTTTTTTCCACTTCTTGTGCATTATTTTGGCACAGAGGTGCTGCAGCAACTTTTAAGTTACCTATTTTACTGCAGGGAGGATTTTTGCTTTTCTGAGCTTTACTTTCATCCCTCAGGGCTTTAATTTTTCTTCTTTTCAAATTTGTTAAATGCTTACAGGTCCTTGGACCATTATGCATGTACAAGTAGTATACAGGGGTGCCTTTTGGCAGTGTGGGGGGGATGTTTACACTAACCCCCACCTACAAGTAGTATACAGGGGTGCCTTTTGGCAGTGTGTGTGGGGGGGTGCTTAGACTAACCCCCACCTAAACTAACTTTACACACTTTAAAGAAAGAGTCTGCCGGGTCTAGAGTGTTAGACTTTAGCAGCTTATGAAATAAGGGGAGTCGTTACTCCCTCACATATCCGCTGAGTCTCGAGGTTTAGCTGACCCCCCTCCTTGCGTTCAGAGCTCCCTTGTGGGAGAGCTCTGGTGCAGCTGGGATTAGCTTAAGTTTCAGACCTATGCAGCAGCATTCATTCTTTACTTATTACATTTATACTTATTTTTTACACACATTTTTTTCTCCTTTTTTACATTTTTCCTACAGTTTTCACATTTAGATACATCTTTTTTTACTGTTCAATTTAAAGGCACTGGAATTCCTGTAGACTGACCTACCCCCATTTCCTGCGCGCGCTTAATTCTGTAAGACACCGAACTAAAGTCCGCCTGCTTACACCATATTCTGCAAGTCACCGAATCAGAATCCGCCTGCTCGCTCTGCGAGTCACCAAATCAGGATCCGCCTGCTCGCTCTGCGAGTCACCGAATCAGAATTCGCCTGCTTGCTCTGCAAGTTACCGAAACAGGATTCGCCTGCTTGCTCTGCGAGTCACTGAATCAGGATCCGCCTGCTCGCTCTGCGAGTCACCGAATCAAGAATTCACCTGCTCGCACTGGTCCCCCCCCTTTTTGTTGCGAAGCACTGGACTCAAGGTCCACCTGCCTCGCAGGGGTTTCCGGCACCTGCCCCAGCCCGGCAGAACACCACGTCCTGGCGCCTGGAGACAGCCTGGCGGAATGGGGCACTATGGCCTGGGGTTAGCCTCAGAGGTCAGTACTATGCCCACAAATAACAGAGAGAGACAATAAAGCTTCCTCACAGTTCCGTGTGCCCAGAGAGCGTAATGGCATCACACCAGCTTTTAGCGTTCGAACACAGAGGGTCTAGCGCATGGCTGCCTTGCTAGAGACACCGGTGTGCCCTTTTGGAACTGACACACATAAGACAGGCCTAATAGACAAAGACAGACACAGACAGACAAAAATGTT